GACGGTCAGCGGACCGTTGAGTGTCACTGCCAGCGGGCAGAGGAGGCCACTTCCAGCCAGCGGGCCGTGGAAGTGGGACGGTCAGCGGACCGTTGAGTGTCACTGCCAGCGGGCAGAGGAGGGGGCTTCCAGCCAGCGGGCCGTGGAAGTGGGACGGTCAGCGGACCGTTGAGTGTCACTGCCAGCGGGCAGAGGAGGCCACTTCCAGCCGGCGGGCCGTGGAAGTGGGACGGTCAGCGGACCGGTGAGTGTCTGCCAGCGGGCAGAGGAGGGCGCTTCCAGCCAGCGGGCCGTGGAATACGACGGTCAGCGGACCGTTAAGTGTCACTGCCAGCGGGCAGAGGAGATCGCATCCAGCCAGCGGGCCGGGGAAGTGGGACGGTCAGCGGACCGGTGTGTGTCACTGTGTATGGACTTGGTGCCGGCTGGCGGCCTTCTGTGTGCACTGACATCTGTGCACACCCCTGCCGCGGCCCTGCGTGGACGCTGACCTCTGTGCACGCTCGGCGCCTCGGGCACACGGTGGCCGATCGCGACCGGCCGGTGAGCCGCGCCGGTCAGTCGGTGCCGGGACCGAATACAGGCTGCGTCGATGGACAAGTCTCTCAGTACCATACACCACCTGACATTGCCGCACGGCCGCTGCCGGACATGAGGTGTGCATCCTTGGCCGAAGTCTCCAGAGCCAAGCAAATTCTCACAGCGGTGCTGACATCACGGGATCCAGTGCTGTCCTGAGTGAAGCGTCTTGTCCAAAAGGGGTGGCCGGCCACTCAGCACGGAGTCGGAACTGTCTGCATTGCTGGTAAACGGCTGGAATTGTCCGTATGCTGCGGCGTGCTCATGTGGGGTCACCGAGTCGTTATTTCGAGCAGGGCACGTAAAGCGATCTTGGCCGAGCTCCACGTGGCGCAACCTGGAGTACGTCGCATGAAGGCTCTAGCAAGAGGCTGCGTCTGGTGGCCGCTCATGGACAAGGTCATCGAGCGTGTCGGGAGCCTGTGTCGGGCATGCCAGGGGAGCAGGCCAGCACCTGATCGCGCTGCCCTCCGCATGTAGCCCTGGCCGGATCGTGCCTGGTCACGGATACATATCGACTTGCCGAGCCCACGAAAGGAAGGTACGTGATGGTCGTGGTAGACGCTTATTCTAAGTGGATTGAGGCAGAGTGCTGCACCACTGTCAGCTCCAAGTCGACGATTACTAGGCTGGGAAATGTGTTCCCGATGGGGATTACCAGACACGGTTGTGACTGACAACGCCACATCATTCACCTCATCCGAGTTTCTGTTTTATGCAGGGAAGTGGCAGACATCACAGGACGAAAGAACCTCGCCACAGCCAAGGCAACGGACTGGCTGAGCATGCTGTGCGTGATGTCAAGCTTGCCTTGCAGAAGTCTGACGCCAACTGGGAAGATGCTTTGTCTCGTTGGATGCGCTGTCAGAATATCACACCTCACAGCACGACCTCAGTCGTGCAGTTATCCCTCAGAGCTCATGGTTGGACGCAGCATCCGGAGCCGGCCGGATCTCCTTCACCCGGACATGCGGAAGGGAGTGACTGAGCATCAGGTGAAACAGAAGGAAATCATGACAGCAAGGTAAGATCTGAAAGAAGATTTGGTGTGTCATATCTCGTGTTTTTCCAGAAACTACGGTGTTGGGTCGCCATGGGCTGCTGGAGTGGTCGTTGGTGTCGACGGGCCAGTATCGTACGCGATCGAGCTAGAGGACGGCAGGATATGGCGACGGCATACTGATCAGTTGAGACGTAGACTAAACGGAAACACGGTTACAGAACCTCCTGCGATGACTGCTGGTGCAGCCGAGACCGTGGCCGAACCAGGAGTGCGGCTGCAGAGGAGCCGACGCCGCCGACCCAGCTGCACGCGCCTCTGCTCAGGATGTCGAGCTCCGCCTCCCAGCGACCGCCGACCTGCTTACCCGGACTGGATCCTGTCGCACGGCGGCTGCCGGTGGAAACTTCTGTGACTGGGCACGCAGGTGCCGTTAGCGAAGGCGCCTGCGCCGTCAGGCGATGATTGTCTCGAAGTGGCGGTGCCCCCCGATAGCGGCGGGCTGACGGCTGCGAAACAGTTAACGTCCGTACCGGCGGAGTCTGGTGCTAGCGAAGCTGGTGATCGCCGGTTGGGCCGATTGCGGAAACAAACTGATTTTTTTTTTACATAGTTGTGTGTTGGTGTGCGGCGCAATGGCTCATTTTTTTTGGGGGGGGGAAGGGCAGTGTAGGGACTTGGTGCCGGCTGGCGGCCTGTCAGTGTGCAGTGTGCACTGACATCTGTGCACACCCTTGAAGCGTCCCTGCGTGGACGCTGACCGCTGTGCACGTCCGGCGCCTCGGGCACACGGTGGCCGATCGCAACCGGCCGGTGAGTCGCGCCGGTCAGTCAGTGCCAGGACTTAATACAGGCTGCGTCGATGGACAAGTTTCTCAGTACCTTACACACTGCCAGCGGACAGATGAGTTCAGTGGGAGTGCGACACTGCGACGGTCACCGGACCGGTGAGAGGCAGATAGGCGCGAGTTCCGGTGTAGGTGTGACGGTCAGTGGACATGCTCGTGGCGGCAATGCAGCATGCAGCCATTCTAGCACCCACAGAGTGGCATACGGCCAGCAGTGACCTGACTCCAGCCCAGATGGCCCGCTGCAGACCCGGTGCAAGACGACCCCCGATCAGCTGCGGACCTGCGGTCCGGGCGCCGGGCCAAAGGCCGCTAGGCCACGGTCACGGTCAGCTGACGTCACGGTGGATGAGTCACCCGGGCCGCCTCACGGCGCAGTGACGGTTACGCGACACGCCCGCGCCTGCGCCGCTGGCGGCCACGTGGCTACCAGCAGTTGCTGTCGCTGCCGCCGCGGCGCCACCAGCGCTGGAGGTGTCCACACCTACCGCTGACGTCACGATCACGCGATCGCTGGGCAGAGGTCACACGATTGCTGGTCGCTCCCGCCAAGATGGCGTCAGGGTGGCTTGGCCTTGGGTGCACAGAGACATTAGGTCATGCACGGTCCGCTGACCGTCCCACTTCCACGGCCCACTGGCTGGAAGCGCCCTCCTCTGCCCGCTGGCAGTGACACTCAACGGTCCGCTGACCGTCCCAATTCCACGGCATGCTGGCTGGAAGTGCCCTCCTTTGCCCGCTGGCAGTGACACTCACCGGTCCACTGACCGTCCCACTTCCACGGTCCGCTGACTGGAAGCGCCCTCCTCTGCCCGCTGGGTCTGAAACTCACTGGTCCGCTGATCGTACCCATTCCGCGGCACGCTGGCTGGATATGGAGCAGCGCCCACTGTCCCCGGTCCGCTGACCATACCATACCTGTCTGCTGTCTGTCACGTCTCCCTTACTGACCTGCTGGAACCCATACTCACCGGGTCGTCAAACGGTCCACTTTCTCGAGCCCCCGGCGGCGGCACCAACTACCGATGAGTCACCTATTCATTCGACTAACGTCAGGGGCGACTTACAGGTCCCCGTGCCGCTGCGGCAGCGGCGGTGAAATCAGCCGCCATTCCTTCTCTCAACGCCGACACAGGATTACCGACTAACCTTCAGAGCCGCCGCGGCGCCCGCACCGGCCCGCGCAGAATGAACGATGTTGCACCGACCGGCCGCCGCCGTGTGGCGTGTCAACAGTCTGCCTCGCCCGTGCCTGTCCCATCTGCACCATGCGCGATACCGCTCCCCGAGCTGGGTCTACTCGGCTCGTCACAGCGTTCCCGACAGCCGTCTCGCGGGCGCCGCGCTCGAGGCTGCAGCAGCAGCCCGGACACCACCGACTGGGCAAGCAAAGACACGGCCAGCAGCTCCGAGTGCTCCTCTAGCTCCGCCGTCGCATCACTGCGCGGCCACAAGCGGTCTCGGACGTCATTATCCCTCACCCCTCGACGTCGCTGCCTCCACACCGGAACGGTCGGTTTCCTTACTTTCGGCACCATCCCCTCTACCTCTTGCCAGCCCCCTCCTCCCCGTGGCCTGAAACTGCCCACCGTCAGTGCCACCGCACTTCGCGCGCTCGCCGCGCGCTCCTCGGTACTGTCGGTGGCCGAGGTAGTCTTTCCCCGCCTACCTCCCTCCGACAGCCTCCGCGGTCAGCCGAGGTACCCGCCGCTTACCCCGGCCGGGTACCTGCGTGGTGTCCCGGCGATCGCGACCTCTACGGCCTAATTTTCCCATACATTTGGCAATTTCTTTGGCGTCTTTCAGCGGGAAATCACGGCACTGACCCTATGCAGGACGCTGATCGACAGAGGGCGTGAAAGGAGTCGAGACCGAGTCGCGCCAAAAGAAAATTGGTATATGAAGGTTACGCGTACCACCGATCGCCGAGCACGTGCTAATGGCACCTTACTGGATCGGATGAGACTGTAAGATTCATTAGAACGGCGAGGCCCACAGCCATACACACATCGGCGCCGCAAACGCCCGTATAGGTACTCGGCGGCGGCATCGTGTGAACCCATGACTCATATGAAACACCCAGTGACACCTAGCGGTCGGCCAGACATTGCACTGACGTGGAAGTGACTACAGGCGGCGGCGCCCCACGAACTGCACCCTTCCCTTTGCTGACAAACCATCACAGAGGGAACATCTTTCCCCACCTCCTCCCCACTCCCCCACTATTACATTATCTTCCCTCCCAACCCATTGTCTCCTCCTTTCATCAGTCCGTCTCGTCTTTCAGCGGGAAATCACGGCACTGACCCTATGCAGGACGCTGATCGACAGAGGGCGTGAAAGGAGTCGAGACCGAGTCGCGCCAAAAGAAAATTGGTATATGAAGGTTACGCGTACCACCGATCGCCGAGCACGTGCTAATGTAGCGGTATAAGTCGAATCAGGAGAAAGGCCTTTTATCGGTCGCTCATATACTGTTAACAGTAATATCTGTTCTATGATAAATTAATATCGCGTCTTTCACTGCTAGAAGACAAATGACAACACTGACGTCTTACTTTCTTGTGTTGCAGCTGCCGAAAAAGACGGCGAAGAAGTCGAAGCGGTTCGTCTCGGACCAGTTCACACGGGAGCTGGAGGACCTGAGGACGGTGAAGACGTAAGGGCTGACGTCCAGAAGATGTCAAAGGCGTCGGCGCTCAACACCAGCCGATTGAATTTTCAGCCACGGTGAAACGTGCAACAAAGCAGCGTGGCGGTGCCATAAGAGGAATCAGTCCTTGGAACGCGACAGACAGCAAAAAGCCTCCCCGAATAGCTAAGAAAGACGCAGATGAAAGACTTCGCTGACTGCGTTGATAGTACTGCAGGTCGCTTTTGCTGGAGCCAGTCCCACTGTTTATCCCGCGCGTGTGCACCTTTGAAGCAGAGCTTCCCTGTTGGTCAGCACATTCGAGAGCTCGAGTAGGAGCTGCGTAGCCAAATGTGGCTGGACTATACATAATCGACCTCTGGCGCAGCGCACCAGCTGGTGTCGGGGTTTTAGCGCGGCCTGACCTGCACTTGTTTGTCCTCGAGCGGCGGTGATCCCGCGCGGAGCATGTGATATGAGTGACATAAGCAGTGTATTTTTGTAATCCTGTGACTTCCACACTTTGACAACCTCAGATTATTTATATTTTTTGGCTTGCTGAGGCACCTACCTACCTGTAATAGCGTGGCTGGAGCTACTTGCTTTCAGGAGATTTTAGTAGTCAAGTGGGATGTATTTGTGTTATTATCATTAGATGACTCTGTTTTCTAGCTAGCCGATGAAACAGGTCAGTGTTCGTACCTGAATATCATAGCAGATGCTCTCTCTCTGCTACGCGTATTGTTGAGAAATGCCAGGAATGGATGCTAGACTAAAAAGGACTAAAAAGTTCACAATTATGATGTAATCACTATTAAATCTTTGTGTAGGTCAAGTCTGAGGAGAGAGACTAGGAGACAAGCCGCCATTGCTGCATTATTTCCATTTTCCTGACAACTCTTGGACCGATTATTTCTGTTATTATAGTGTATGCGTCCAGAACCTCAGACCAAAGAAGCGTCATGCTGGACGTTCCCCGGTGTCGAGTGCCGCCTTATATGATCACGTATAGAGGTGGACCTCTGGTGACTGGTTTACTGTGTGTGCGTACATACGTATGACAGCGTAACTTATTTAGTGTCGTGTGTTGTGTGGGCTGATCACACGAATGGATCACGCTTTTGTTCTGCCTAGTTAAAGGCCGTGTAAAGGGCGCTTACATTGTTTCCGCAGGTTCAACTTTTGACTTGCGTATGATCCATATATGTACACGATGATACCTATACTCGTACCTATACATGTATACTACCTATACTTTGCCCGGATCTGACGAAACGTCAATGCGTAAATGACAAGCAAACATCTCGTATATTTTGAAGTGTATGGAATATATAACAATGCACAACTTGTTTTTTTTTTTTGCTGCATCAGTAAACAAAGATGTCAAGACTTCGGCGAATTCGTTTCGATTGCACGACAAATATTCTTGCGCAGTGTATCCCACATGTCGTCTATGCTCGTAGAATGTAGATCATCAAAAACAGCAGTTTAGATGCTAAAATAATGGGAGCATTGTAGTTTTAGGGTTCAAATGCGGAGTCGGAGTCGGAGTCGGAGTCGGAGTCGGAGTCGGTCGGAGTCGACAGTTGTGACCGGAGTCGGAGTCGGAGTCGGAGTCGATTTTAGAAACCCGAGCCGGAGTCGGAGTCGGAGTCACCGAAAATCTGTCGACTCCGCAGCCCTGCTAGGTCTGCGGAGTCGGAGTCGGGAGTTGGAGTCGGTCGGAGTCGACAATTCTGCCCGGAGTCGGAGTCGGAGTCGGAGCTGGTTTTTGAAAGCCGGAGTCGGAGTCGGAGTCGGAGTTGCCGAAAATCCATCGACTCCGCAGCCCTGAATGTAGCATCATTTTTATTCAATCTATCATATCGTCCCCAAGCACAAATAGTAAAAGAATGTTTAGTATGTAAATTCCTTCTGTTATGAGTTCAGGCGCGTAACGAAGCCAGTCGAAGTTAAGTGTATGACTTCTTAGTTTTGAAATACCTGTGGGAGTGTCGCGCCCAGCTCGGAAGCTCAGCTGACGTCCAGAGGCCCGGTCACCATGCGAGATAGGTCACCAACCGAGCGGAGAGGAGGGCGAGCGAGGGTGATCACTGAGGAGTAAAACCGAGCGGGGGGGAGGAGGGACAGTCACTGAGCCAGGTGGCAGTCACCGAACTGGGGAGGGGTTACCGAGCGAGGGGGGGAATATTACGGACGGGAAGTTTCGGACGGGTGGGCGATCCGTGCAGCTAGCCGACAATTATCGACATGAGACCGTATACTGCAGACATTATATTTTAGTCTCTTATCAAACTTGTAAAAAGTTTATTTTATTTTTATTTAAGCGCTAAAGACGGCTCTTAATCAAGACTGACTCGGACTGATGGCGAGTGATGATTCGGAATATAAATTGGACTTACGTGCTCAAAAGAAGCGATACAAGGCTTCAAGATGCATCCGATGCATAATGCACATATTGCCAATATTATCGTTTATATAGCTATTTTATCATTACAGCATGAAAATACATTCAAGGTTACATTTCAGCCTAAGCTTTTTACTGTTCAAATAGTTTATGAGAATAATGATGCATAATTAATTACAGTAATCAAACAGTAATTTTGTGCCAACCTGAACAATGAAAGAAGAGCCAGACAGCACATATGGGTGTGAATATTTGTTGTCCCTTTTTGAAGGTCTATAAAAGCAAATGTAGGTAAAGCTCGGACCTCGACTGTGGAATTTGATAAAAAGTGAAGCAAGCATTGCTGTTAAAGAGAAGACACCTTTATTAAAGTAAATTGTCGTAAATGTAGGTTATTCGCCGTCTAGAGGCTCGTCTTTTGAAATATTGTGTAGGCCTTTCTCCTTACACTATTTTGTGGGTAGATATGTACTTACTAAAATATCATTCAATTGCACCCTCAAGTTCCGATATATGCAATGATATGGAACGTAGTGTAGGGTTTCCGGTATCAATTATCAAACTTCTATACCGGATGCATGCAACACATATCGAATGTCTATTTTGTTTGCAAAGCAATTAGTAGTGCACAAATTGCAGCTAATGCTGCTTATTAGTAGGTACCATCTATATCCCTTACATCTCAGTGGTTCCTTAGTGATCACGTGAGCTCACGTGAATTGTTCTCTGATTTTCTTTTACCTTCTCAATTTGCTGACTCGGACAATATCATGAATGCACAGCAGCTGGAGCCTAAGGATGCCTGCGCTGCCAAATGTATCCCTCCTATATATCACGGTCCGCCCCAGAACCATCTGGCAGCGCTGTGCAGCATATGGCAGCGCTGCGGAGCGAATCGATGAGCTGCTGGTGGCGCCACGATTGGGGGCGGCGTTGGCTGAGTGGAGGCGGCGTGGTGCGGCGCGGCGGCGACGTGGTGCGGCGCGGAGCTGATATCCCATGGGGTACAGAGTCACCTGGTGGTAAAGGTGAGTAGTTACTGAGTGATAAAGTGACCCTGATTGGTGACCTCACTGCATCCCCACCTCTACCCCCGTCCTGCTGCTTTGGCTTGCAACGGAGTACCCACCTCGGCCAAAACACGGTCCAACTGGTGTTGGCACTTGTTGCGCAGAACAGAACTGATGTACTGTTGCAATGCGTTCTTACGTTACAGCCTACATATGTGCAGCCAGCGCATAAACAAATGTGTGAAAATATTAGCGACAGCTTATTCATGAACCGAATCTGATACCACTCTCTACGTAATATTCAATAAAAATCCGTCTTGCAGGGCCAGTTGTATGAGCATTTTTTGTTAAAAGCTGTTTAACCCGCGCCCTGCTGGGGGTCCTGGATTTCCACGCCCTGCTGGGGGGGGTGTTCAAACACCCCCCCTTCTAACTCGGCTCCTGGGCCACGTAGCGATACGCGGAAGGCGGCGTTCGAAAGAGCATAAAAAATAATGACGAAATTACTTCGGTCAATTTTTTGGTCAGGTCAAAGGTCAGGTCACCAGAGGTCATTGAAGGCGAAATTTCGCCGATTTCCAGGTCGAATGTCGACAATTTCCAAGAAGCCAACGCATAACTCGGGAACCAATAGAGCTACAGCGCTGCGGAAAAGCGCATTCGATAGCCCTATTAGCGCTCTTTCTGAATAATTCTCTCAGATTTGACCTAGCGTCAACGGTTTTGCCTGCAGGGGGCAAAAACTGCAAAAATAGCCGATTTTTTCGGAAACAGTTTTTCTGCAATAACTTTTGACCCAAACCTTGTACGAGCTTACTTTTACCGGCATCGTGTTCCTCTCGTCAAGACGCATCGAATGAACTATAACTTGACCTTGAAAGGTCAACTTGAAAATTTGACCTCAGGTCAAGGTCATGACCTGACCGGAAAGGGTCATGTTGCATATCAGTCGATCCGTATCGTCGAGCTGAACACATCTAAGGTGTTTTCATCGCTCTAGCATGCCTCTATCAAAAGTTATTTGCGAAAAACTGTTAGATACCATTCGTGACCTAAGATGACCTCAGGGGCATAACCAGGGGTCACGGACACCATTTTCATGTTCAGTGTGTCTAAACCACTTGTAATTCAGTGTTTGGGAGTGTTTATAATGCTTTTCGTCCAAAAGAGGCGCATTTCAATTTTCTCCCATTGACTTATAATGGGGAGGTCGCAAAATTGACCTGACCTTAGGTCATCGATATCAAAATTCTGAGATATACATTTTGTACATGCTATTGCTCTTAGTAATCGCTGAAAGTTTCAAAGCGATCGGTCACTCGGTGTAGCTATGGCAGACATTGAAACGTTTTATGAGGTGAGGTCACTTCAAGTGACCTGGTGACCTGACCTTGAATGACCTTGGTCTGAAATTTTCCCAACATGTGTAGAATTGATGTATGATAAGGTGGACCAAAAACGGCGGCGCTCCGCGCCGCCGTTTTTGAGATATCCGCGAAAAACCACAGGGGGGTGTTCAAACACCCCCCCCCCAGCAGGGCTTGGGTTAATGATAGCACACATTAAATTATTCAACTTTCCAGTATCTAGACGCCATACCTTTAAACTGTTGAGTGACACTCCGAAGTTCATTTTCAACTTAATCAATGAATCATGATTGGACCGATGTTCTCAAGCATGCTCCCATCGCACACAACTATGACCGTTTGACGTTTGACCGGTGCTCTGGCTCTTACAGCAGGCACCATGATCTCCCGATGTCTGGTGACCCTGCTCTGTCTCCTGACGTCACGGGTCAGAGGAGAGCGATCCGCCTCCGTCCGGGGCACTGGCGATGCTGGAGAACTGATAGAAGACCTCGACTACGGCAGTCTCCCTGACGGCATCACTTCGGACACCGTAGTCGTCACCTACTTCTACGACTCAGGTAGGAAAAGAAATCACGCTTGGACGGACTTAAGTTATCAAAATTAGTCACCGTATAAATTTATTTAATGAGATGATTTTGCACTTCCAGTAGTAAGAAGCAAAAGGGATTTAAAAATGGTAATACACTTTCTGCAGCGCAGATAACGATCATGCGAAGTTTTGCAAGCAAAGCTGTTGTTCTTAGGAAAGTAAAGCGTTCAAAAGTTAAAACCCACACAAATTAATGTAAATCTTTAAGGAAAGATTTGACGTCCGTACGGCTGAACGATTTCACCAGGAACGATCTCGTCCCCACCTACAGAGCACCACTCTGCTGATACGGGACACCAACTGCTGAAAAAGCTCAGCAAGTACTTCAGGCGCAGGCCAGAGGTTGACATCAGACTGTGCAAGGTAAGGGCTGGCGACAGTACTAACGACTAGCTTATTCCCTGTCGAGGAGTGGCCAATTTTGCTCTTCTGTTCTTCTAGCAATATGCCTACAGTATAGCAACAGATCTTCCTTATTTATTAAAGGGACTCAGTCTGCAAGGGTAAAGCGGCTTTGTGGCTATTGAAAAAAAAATTATTGACAGTAAAAAGCCTCGGGCTAAAAAGGCTAACTCACGCTTAGCCGTTCTATTCAATAATTATGAAGTAGGTATGTCACGATTCAAACCAAAAGCTGACAATGATTTCAATTTTGAGTAGTGTTTCAGAAGCGGACGGCAGTTCCCTCACTGTTCTCACCTTTCTCAGGTGTCCTGTACCGGCGAGACGGGCCAGTTTTGTCGGCGGCACCTGGTGAACCGAGCCGTGCACGCGTTCCGACAGGGCCACCCGCGTGTGACGCTCTCTCTGACCGGTCCCAGCCCCCTGGACGCCGCCATCGCTACCAGCCTCCAGTAAGGAGACAGCCTCCGCCGTGCTGAAACTCGAGAATCAGCACCGACACTAGCATATGTGGGAGATTTGGCAGTGGCGGAAATAGCTCTTGAAATGCCACAGCTATAAAAAAGT